GATCTGTCGTCGGCCATCAAGTGGATACGATGCCTGTTTCGTTCGTAAATGATACATGTCCACTTCAGTTTCACTGCATGCAAATGACGCCATCGCCGTGCATGTTCCAACTGCATTCGTTGGCAATCTAAGTGCATCTGCGATTGGTCGCGTGAGAAGTGGAAATGAGCACCATCCGGTCCTCAATACGCCCCATTCCGATGACGAAATATCGCAGATTGAAGATGGAGTAGAAATCCGAGTCCACCCCGCAATCTAGTTTGCGGAGCCGAAAGTGACCGACCGAACGGCAGTTCTACGGGAGTCGTGTCGCAGCCACCTGAGATCCATATGGTCATCACGTTGTATTCATCCACGCCGGTAGGGGAAGAGGTCGAGGAAATTCAAATCGAGGGGAAATGAAGACAGGCTTGAGTTCATTTGTAGTTGAGTTGACGTGGTCGAGCCGCGGTAAATAAATACATACCCGAGCTGGATTAGATCATTTCCCCCCCGGATGGTTGGTTCAACTTGGGTCCACGGTTCTGGGTTCGGCGTGTATTAAATTGGGTTGGGTTGGTTTTGTTTTGTTGTTGTTGTTGTGGGTGTTTACTTATAGTTTCTGTGATGTCTGTTCGTTTGTTTGTCTGTATATTTAGGTTGTGATGTCATATGTTTTGCTATTGCGGTGTCGCTGCTTTGTGTGTGTGTGATATTCTTATGACTCTATGGTCATGAGGGTTAGATAGCTATATTAACTAGTAGTCTACTCTATAACCTACTTTTTCTTCTTCTTTTTTTTTTTGTGTGTGTGTGTGTGTGTGTGTGTGTGTGTGTGTGTGTGTGTGTGTGTGTGTGTGCCATTTGGTTCCTATTTTGGCGGATTCCGTTTCGTTTTATCTGTTTCTTATTTGCTGGGTATACACCTATGTGTGTGTGTGTGTGTGTGTCTATTGCTTGCTATCCCAGTGAAGTAATTCCAGTGTTCTCCACACGGTCGAGGGTAGGAGCATTACAATTACTGATAACTGTCTGAATAATCAAATATAAGCATAGTCTCATGGTAGTAAGTTGTAGAGGGGTAGGCTTGAGTTGAACAAGAGGATAGTAAATGGATTATACGAGAAGAAAAACCATGTTTTTTTTATTCGATATGACAGAATTATCTAGTGCGTAGTGCTATTTCTTAAGGTGCGTGGAATGGAGACTGCTGGGGACTAGTTTGTATATCGAATAGTAGACAATGGAGGTCATACAAGATAAAAGTAATGTAGAAAGGATAGATTATGTCTGAGCTAAACGAGATACCAATCCATTAATACATTCAAAATACTCCGACCAACATAATGATTCCAACGTAGATCATAGAATAGGCTCTGCTGTGGACCGACGGGGTGTATTCCTGTATGGTCGACGGGTCGGCGCCGCTGGGATATGGACAGCCATTCTCTCGGTCATGTCTCTGGCAGGAACCGGGTTCGCAGCGCCTTGGGTGGGCGGATGGGCCGTGTAGGGTGGCAACGCGAAGAGGCTATTGTAGTTTGGCATGGCTGGTGGGTTGGGTGATGGGCGTCTGAAGCGGGGTTGTGAAGATTCCAAGGAGGGTGGGAGATTTGCTGTTGGAAGCCCGGCCAGGGGATCTATCTCGTCTTTGTCATTCAACGCCCCGGGATCCGGCCCCCTGAGGCTTCGGTAGAAAACCCGGCGCTGGCGATTTTCTGTTTGTGGATATGGGTTTGGATGTTCGAATATACTTGGTCGGTTGAACTGTGGCGCCTGCATCGTGCCATCAGGCCTATGTTGAAAGAGACCACCGCCGTAAGGCTGAGGAGGCCCATTGGCGACAACGCGATGGAGGCCATGGAGGCCATGGCGAGCCTGTGGCAGGTCCACCTTGGTTTGCTTGTGACGGTGCACGAGAAGTTCTTCCCGGGTCAGATTGGGGTTGTCGGCTGTGAGTTTGTCAATGGTTCTCTTCTCTGCTTGATTGACTGCTTGTTCGTCGGCGTTGTGGACCTGGTCATGGGTAGGGCAGGAGCCGGGCCCTTGTCCGAAATGGTTGTACTGCGCGCGCGTTATGTCCTGCCGGCATATATAACACATCACATGGGAACATTTCGAGCAAATCATCTTGTTACATCCAAACTCCTTGACGATCTTCACTTTGCATTGAGGGCATTGGCGGATCAATGCCTCGCTCATGGCCTCTTCCACCAGGTGGCGCTCGGGAATGCCCTTCTCTTTCGCGGCCTCCGCGCAGGTCTGGGGGATGTGACTAGTCGCTTTGCACAGGCGACAGCTGACTTCCTCGCACGCGGGGTTCTGACACCGGAATTCTCGATCCTCCTCGATAGGAGCGCAGACTGCTTTGAACTCGCAAAACGGACAGCTGTCAAGGCCCTCCAGTCCGGCCCGTCGGACTTCGTCTTCTTGCTGAAGGGAGTCGAGCTTCTTCGTCAGAGACGGGCCTAATACATCTTCCAATGTACTGCGGGCGAACCCCGCCTGGCAACCACTGGTATCAATACACTGTAGTTGATATTTCATCAGTCCAATCTGGGTCTCCGCGTTCCTGCGAATGCAGCCGAAGCAAAAGAAATGGATGGTGGCTCCCTCGCAATGGATTGCCCTGTTCAACGGCACGTCAAGATAGCAGCACTGGCATTCCACAAGGTTCCTTGCCCGGGTATGTTCCTCTTCGTTGCGCCTCTCCGCATTTTCTTCTTCCTCGCGCTTACGAAAAGCGTCTTCGTTGAGAATCGCCACTGGTCAGTTGTTCGTCCGAGGCCTTAAATATCCATTCGATTGTTCACTCACCGGCGTCTCTCTCCACTCTGTTATGTGCGGCTTGGAGCTCTTTCAAAAAGTCGTCTGCTATTGCGGGATGAATTTCAACCCCTTTGAGGATATCGTTCGCATGGTCGTCTACTCTCCTTCCCCTCATCAGCCTCGTGTATGGACGATTGCGGCTTGTGGTCGAACGTTCGAAAGAAGACAGCTCAACGTAGACCGAGAACAATGATCTTCCCCGTTGTATAGTGTGTCGTAGATAGGGTAGGGGAACAAAGGGGAATGTCCGCATCAAAATCTCCTTTCTTCGACAAAAAGTTAGCTGGCGACCGCAAAAGTCGGAGCCGTGATGTGACATGGAAACGATGAAACATACGCAGTTGCGATGTAAGTGCCATCATGATGCTGCTCACGTTCCCATCTTGAGTCATCCTGAACACTGCTGGCTTTTGGGGTTCCTTTCTTGTGCCTTTTCTGCTTCGGGTAGCTTGAGTTTCCAAGGATCTTCTCAATGATTTGCGCTTTTAACGTAGGGTTTCTTTCATGACTGGAATCAGTCATTGCTTCCTGGAGCAGGGCTGCAACATGGGCGAGGCTGATATCTGGGAATATTTCTAGAACCTGAGACAAAAGCCTGTTCTCATCGTAGGATGGAGAATCAGCATGACGATCCGAGTTGGGAATACCATGTTGAATCGAATCTTGTGTAAGATCGATGGTCTGCGCGACGGAATTGTCAAACGGTCCGAACATGGACCACGTCGCATTAGGCCCAGGGATCTCCTGCTTCGTGGATGTAGGGGTGTTATCCAAAGGATGGATCTGGTAGTCAGCGTGCCGATGATTCTCATGTTTCATAGGTATAGTAGAGTTGTTCGGAGGATGGATTTGGTGATCAACGTGTCCACCGAGACCGTAACCATATCGTGGATAATCGAGCCCAGCCGACCAGATGTCCGCGTTGTCTCCCATGATCGGATCAAGATACTCTTGACCGAGGAGACCAAAGTGTCTGGAAAAGACATCGTCGACGTCCATGCTGGTCACTTTGGGTTGCGCAAAGACTTCAAATGTTAGAGGTCTCTGCGTTGATGCTAGAATGATCCCAGGCGCTCAGGTTGGTGTAGCAGGTCTCAGAGGTCTAAGTGAGAGGTCTCAATCATTACACTGGGAAATTGGAGGGGGGTAGCATGGGAAGTCTAATTCCACGCCGGGGAGCCAAAGGAGGGTCAAACAAAGAATAAGCGTAGAGTGAAGGCCCTCTAGAGAGATGGACAGGAACTACAGTGGAGATGTGGGTGATATGTCCCCCGCCCAAAACAGCAACAGGAAGTATCACCCATCATTATGATCGTGTGGCATGATAGAAAAGTGGCAGAATGTACCAATAGGGCAATGAAATCAACAGGGTTAAGCTCATCCTGGATCAATGGCATGATCTCTTTCAGAGGACTCAAAGGATATCAGAAACCCAACCTACTTGACTTCATGGAAAATATCCAGTGATATCGCAGCCAGTCTGTCTTTCTGCCTCTTCTCCTTGAACCGTCACCGTCTCATAAGATTCGATGGTCTACCACCAGGGGAACTATAGGTCAAAGCGGAGACCTCGATCGGCCAAGAGGGAACCAAGGGAACCCAGAAATCGATGTCCGACGGTAGAGAGAACAGTGGGGTAAGAACCGTGGCTGGGAGCTTTTCCCAACACCAGATTAACACCCAAGATTCTTATACTGACAGCGAAAGTGGGGTATAACAAAGCCTTGGTGGGATGGGAACAAGGCATCAACTGGCGGCTTTTCCTTGCGGGGATAATGCCACTCCCCACCGCTCTCCCAATCTCCATCTGGAGCTTGAAATACGGAAATCCAGAAACCTCGTCATGAACCTCATCCAGTCATTTACCCCAGGAAACCCAAACCCACTGGTTGGATCATCCTTATTCACAGCTCGGGATCACTTGCATTCTGGACCCGCGTGAACAAAGTCAAGTGACAAAGATCTTGTCCAAGACAGCATCACCGATGACATAACTTGACAGATGTGGCTCCCCAGACGCCCATCTCACTGGTCCAGCCCAGTCAGATCGGGCTCTGGAAAGAGTTCTGTACCCATGGTGGATCCTCATTCCATTACCGGGATGACCTGCCTAATCTACATACGGTAGGGTAGTATGGTCTGTATTATTACCCCCTAGTTACCCACTTCCCTGTCAATAATACCAGCCTTTGTGACCTCTAACGGCAGGTACAACCTCATGGATCTCAACAGATTCATCGCTTGCCATCGCTTGGAATCGGAGTGCAATGACACATAAGTATATCCCTTGACCCCTCCCTCTCTTGTGTAACGTCGGACGGGGGTTCTTGATTGATTATTTATTTATTTTCCCCCGGATTTTGATCCATTCAATTGATTCGGTTTGTCGTCGGGGATCGACTGTGACATTCATTTAACTTGTCATATACCGCCACTGTGACTGCCTCGAGCTTGGAACCGTTTTTGTACACTTCAGCTCGGCATCTTTTAGCTCTACAGGATCAACAACATCATCAACTTCAACAGGAAGACAACATATCTTAGTCTCATCCACTACTTCAACATCTGAACGAACATTATGATTGCCCCCAACACCGTGTATGATGACCCGCCCGTCTTGCCCCCAGGAGACTCCCCAGAGCTGGCCCTGGTCGCAGCCTCGCCGCAGGAACGGATCGAGACCATCAAGCTGAACAGCACCGCCTGGAAAGGGTTCCTTGACCTCGATTCCTACATCGCAAGGGAGGACTACCTGCGGCAGCAGCGTCTGAACAAAGACGGCCTCACCTGCTGGATCCTGGTGGACCGTCGGCAGCCAGAGGGCCAGAGGACAATCCTGAGCTCCTGCGAGACATACAAGAAGCACGCTCTGTTTGCCCACGACGGCAAAGTCGAGGACGTGGTGGCGTATGGCGTCGGGAGTGTCTACTGCCGGTCGGAGTTTAGAGGGCAGGGCTACGCGAAGAGAATGATGCAGCTTTTGAGCGCGAAGCTCGATGCGCGGCAGATGGGGACCGAGGGGCCTGGGAACTCTGCCTTCAGTGTCTTGTTTTCGGATATCGGGAAGAAGTTCTATGCGCAGTTTGGCTGGAAGCCGTTCCCGTCCTCCCATCTCTCTCTACCGCCCATCTCCAAGGAACAGCATGACGGGGGCCTCTCCACAGCCACTCTGCCAAAGGCGACAACGTTGCACGCCCAGGACATCCGGGACTGCATGTGCAATGACGAGCTGATCCAGAAAGAGCGCGACTTTCTGCGCGTAGCCTCCCAGGAAAGCCAGACCCCCAAAGTAGCCATCGCCCCCAGTTTTGAGCACTTTGAGTGGCACTGGGCGAGAGAGGAATTCCTCTCCAAGAAGATCCACCCCAAAAGGAGCCCACCCGCGATCAAAGGCGCAGGGGAAGAACGTTCTGGTGTGTATTGCGCCTGGAACAGGAACTTCGGCGAGTCTCCCCAGGAGAACACGCTGTATATCTTGCGGTGGGTGTACGATGAACCCACCACGCCGGAGGAAACCGACGCGACGGTCAAGAGCATGGCTTCGATCCTGAGGCGTGCTCAACTCGAGGCGTATGAGTGGAACATGGCCCAAGTCGAGTTTTGGAACCCCACCCCCCTGCTGGAGAAGGCAGTTGCGCTCTTGGACCCGACCGCCAAGGTGGTCCATCGTGAAGACAGCAGCATCGCGTGCTTCAGGTGGACGGATGCCGAGAAAGGTCCCACCAAGGATGTGGAGTGGTTCTGGAACGAGAAGTATGCCTGGTGCTAGTGGCTTTATAGCTGTCGCATTTCTGGCCCTTTTTTTTTTTTTTTTTTGTTCAACCATTTCTTTCTGAGGACAGGGAGGACGATATATTCCACTGTCCCTGTCCTGGCGCGGTTGGTACATATGACACGTCTCTTAGACATATAGACACAGAGCAACAGAGCTCTACATGTCAGTGCAAAGTGTGCTCAGCGTTTCTGCCTTTTATTTTTGAATAGCTCATGCCAATTCCGTGACTTCTTCGCTGCCGTGTCGGCGCTGATATCTGTGGACAGATTGTTCTTGAGCTTTTGGCGGTCTGCTTCGTTGACGTAGCAGATAGTCGTAGGGTCAGGAAATTTGTACGAGTCGTTCTGGAGATATTAGAAACCATCCAACAGATATGCCTCGTCCATGTAGTTTGGGGGTAGACTCACGGTCAATTGAGACAATGAGACATCGTCCCTCCACGACTCAGGAAGATGATTCTTCCAAGTGGCGAGGAATTCAACACGACCAACAGCTGTCTTTGTAGAGGGCGCGACAGCTTCCAGATAGGTCTCACCAACCCACTGTAAACACTTCTTCTTGTCGATACTCGCCCCTGCACAGAAGTCAATAAGCATCCCCATGCCATCCCTCACGTCCGACAACAGAAGGGAAGAGAAAGAAAGGCAAACTTACACTTCATCTGCGCATCATCAAACAGCCCACCCAACTCCTCCCCAGACTCACAAACCCGCCTCACAACAGCCTCAAACAGATCCCGGGGGAATGGCTCCACGACAGTACCGTCGTCATCCTCATCAAGCACAGATTTCCACAAATCCCTCACTAGGAATTGCTTCTCCAGGTCAATTCCCTGCAGGACAGCTCCCTCCATCGCCTTCTTCCACACATCGATCTTCACCTGCGCTGAAGGTCGCCGACAGTACTCAGACACAGCCCTAGTGCTACTGCTGCTACTCCTCTCCGCGCGAGGCAACACAAACGCACACAGCTCAACCCAGCCCCTCTCACACTCAGCCAGTGACAACGGGACATCGTCGAAAACACAGCGAATGATATCCCCTCTCTCCTTCTCCTCCTCTTCACCCCTCATCCCTAGATCCCCCCGCGCACTGTTACCATCAACCCCATCCCCATCAAACACCCCCAACGCCCCCTCCAAAAACGGCCTCGCAGAGAACCCCCCAGACGGAACATCCAACTCAAGCGTCGACCCGCACTTCGCAATAGCAGTCATCGTGTCGACAAGGTCGAGATTCAGCCCTTCCTCACCGACTTGGTCGCCGGCTCCTCCGACGATATTGATATCTCCGCGTTTGGCGCCCCCATCGCTAGGCCGGATAACATGTAATGAATTCGAGGACTGGACTTCGCGGATGCGGTATGTTTGGGTTGGGGTGCAGAGGTTGACGTATTGCTGCTGCTGCGATCCGGTGGAATTTTGAGATTGGGATTGAGATTGGGCGGGGGATTTTAGTTGCAGTCTGAGTTCGTCCTTCTGGTTAGTATATTGTCATGGATGAATGTTGGTTCCGTTTATATCGAGAGGGGAAATATAGGTAGGGTTTCTAGTGGGAATAACATACGTAGCTCCGTCCTCCTTCGTTAACAATCCCACCAATTCAGGCGTGAGCTCCAGTAACCGGAATGCTTGCTGCGGAGCGGAGTGTGTGAAGAGGATGGGGTGGGTGGATTGGGTTGACATCTTGATTGTTCTCTACACCCTGTTGTTATATGATATGTTTTCGGAGGAGAGAGTGGGAGAGAGAGAGTGTGTGTATATGTGTGTCAATGTCGTGGAGAAATGTCATGGAGATGAAGTCGAAATTAATCAACGGAGGAAGCACTCAACGCGCTGCGCTACGGCACGCGTTTCCCGCGCACGGGCCACCGCTTAATATTTCTACTTAACTACAGGTAGGGAAGTCTCTCCGCACGTAGACCTTGGGTAAATCAGATGGAATAATATCGGACATCCAAAACATAGTACTATACACTAAAAAATCCGAGTTTGAATTCTACCCCTGAGTTGTTTTGACCAAAATGACACCCATCAAATAGATAAATAAAAAAAACCAACCGACATTTGAAGAAACCAACCCCAAGCACTCCAATACACTCCCTCATGAAAATAGAATGAAATGAGACAATCCAACCAAACGAAGGGGACGAGCTCGACGCGAACTGCACTACAGCCCTGTGGCCAGCACGAGAGCTACATATGTTCCAGGCAAATCACAAGAGGCTGGACCTGAGGCTACTGCGGTATCCACGGAGGTTTCGCACGAGCGTTGCAACCCTGGGAAACGGCATGAACATATGGTAGACGTTAATTAAGCGACAACCGGTGCATCTGCCGGTTTAACGGCCGGTTGGACGGCCGGAACTGCAGACCCTTCTTCAGCGCCCTGGACGGTATCGTGTTTTGCGAAATCAGACACCTTGCGCGCCTGCTGGTCCGTCTCCATATCGTCCTTGACAAAAGCGTTGTCAATCTCCTTTTCTGTCTTGACGTCCCGGAAGAGTTGCGCTGCCCGGCGAGCGCGCTCGGCCTGTTCTTTTTCTTCTTCCTCGCGGTACTGCCGCTCCAGTTCCATCTCCTCCATGTGGCGAAGGTCGTCTACACTCGGTTCGTAAAGATGCCAGATGGTGTAGTGCGGTAGGCCGACGACTGAGAAACCCATCCGTTTGGCCAGCTGATTTGATGTTAGTGTACAGAATGATGATGGGAGCTAAGGGGAGTCTCACCTTTCCGAATCCTTCTGTCTCCGCATGTTTCTCGAAACTAAAAGCCGGGAAATGCACTCCGGCGCGAAACACCCTTGCTTTGGCAAGAATACTGACACCCCCAACGCCGTCGAGGTCCATCTCCATATCAGGATCTCCGTACGGGTCGCGGAGGTAAGCTAGATGCGGCCGCCAGGTCGCATATTCGGCGTACCCTTCCACAATGACCGCATCCTCGTCCAGGGTCTCGGCCAGCGCGAGAGCGGTCTCGGATTCCTGCCACGAGTTCAGATCGTACGGCTGTTCACCCCCCAGCCAGTCGGGAAGCGGGCGCCAGACATCTGGAAAAGAATTAGCTGCAGTCCATCATCGTCCATTGTTGCTGTCCACTCACTCGGCACGATGACATCCTTGTCGTGTCGCATGAGGTCTTCGAGAATCGTCGTCGGCGCGGTTTCGACATCCGCATCCCTCCAGTAGACCCAGCTGTGAGTTGGGCGCAGGGTGGCACTCAGCAGCCAGTTCCTCGCCTGGGCCATCAGCTTTCGACGCCCCGCTTGAGCGGCGAAGCCATGTCTGCTCTCCACATCCTGCGTCACCTTTTGCCCAAAATCCTTGCGAATCACGGAAATTTCACCAAAGGACATGGAGCGATCGGGGTCGGTTTGCAGTTCTTCCAGCATATGGGTCAGCATCCCCGATGTATCATCCTTCGAATCGGATACGAGAAACGCCAAGTCGATCAGGTGGTGGGGGTATGTGAGATTTCGCAGATGCGAAAAGAACATGGGGAGATGGGAGGCGGCGTCCCGGAGCGGCGTACACATGAGCACACGCTCCTCCCGTTCCCAGCCACTTTCCGATCCCTGGACCTGGGCAAGATCATAGTATCGTACGGTCTGGATCTGCAGATCGTTGGCGGCGAAGAGGCCCAAGGAGACACTGGGGAGGAGCGCGGACCGCCATGAGGGGAAGATGAATACGAAAAGGAATAATGAGATGGCCGCGATGAGGCCTAATCGGAAGATGAGTTGTCGGCGACGTCTGAGGGCGGGTTGTGAACGGGGTTGAAAGCTGTCGCGAAGAAGAAACTGTGAGCATTTCGTCCACCTCTCGCTGGCCGCGCAGGGACTCAACCTGAAGCGACATGCAACATGGAGTAGGACTTACTGATGAGGAGTGATGGAAAAGGTACTTTGGTGACCGCGAGGGTAGGCGGCGTAGCCATTCGCGAAGGCGTGATGCCTATTCATGTCTTCAAGTACAGCCGCATAAAGAAGCTAACAAGTCGACCCCCGAAGACCCAGGAACCTCGCAAACCACCTGTGGTTTTGGTCCGGGCGATTGGAAATGGATGTGGACTTCTTGAATCCCTAGTGCGAAATGCAGCCACTTTGGTGGCGTGCGCGGCCAACCGGTCTGCAGGGTAAAACAAGGGTGTTGAAAGAATGACAATGGGATCACGGATCACAGATCTCACAGGGAGAAAGGTATTATGAAAGGAATTAAAGAAAAATGTGAAACTAATCTGAGAAAAGAGAACAAGAAAAGAAAGAAGAAACGAAAGGTTTGGTAAGGGAAAAGATAGAAGAAGTGAGAGGAGAAGAGAAGACGAAACTTGAAACGTTCAGGCTTGAGGTGTTCCCCAAGTGAGTGTTAGTTACTAGTAACGGCCACCTTACTTTACCTGCTACGGGGTCTTTCTTTAGTGGAAACAATTGGTCCGGCGGTCTTCCTGTCTGTCTGGCCCCTCCAAACTCCACCTCGAACCTAGTCAGGCCCTCCAAATCCGGTAGTTTAGAGGGAAAGGATCGTCCTGTCTTTTCTGTTTGCGGATATGCGACGCTGCTTGTTGCTCGGTTAGATTGATGAAATTAATCTTGAATGTTCCATGTATTCATCCTTATCGGTGGTGGTTCATTTCAATCCACCCGAGTGCCTGCCGATCTTTTATCTACTGTAAAATCAATGAAAAGAAAATAAATTAAATAAACCCACGCTCCCAAAATGCCAACCATCGCAATGCCAGTATACCAAAAAAAAAGACGAAATAAATAAAGAAGAAAAAAAAAATCACCGACCACTCAATCGCGAAATTCGCGATTGAGGCGACCCCATCCCCTTCACCCCAATCTCGACCTGTCGCATCACCTTTTTGAGCAACAGATCCATCCGAGGCGGGTCGCGCAACACAGGAATGACGGATCCGGCCTCGTATTCGCTGTCCAGGATATAATACCGCTCTCTGCCCCAGTTCCCCACCGTGTCTCGCTGGAATGCAACTTTCACGATCGCCTTGGCGGGAACACGGGCCTTGTTGATGGCACTCTTGGAGAAGATCCGAAGGAGGGGGCCGAGTCCAGACCGAGCTTGATGTGCCATTCGGACCGAGAGGGGCGTTGTGGTGGCTAGGTGGCTCTCCCCTGCCATTGCGCCCGGATCGAGCGTGCAGATGTTTAGTGAGATGTTGCCGTTCTGTGGAATACCTTGTCAGTGACTGTGACCTTTTGGGAGATTGGTTGATGAAGCGGAGTAAGGGTTGAACTGACCAACACGAGACTCCGGCGCAAGGCATACATGGCAGCGCTCATCAATAGCTTGCTACTCCCGAACCTCACACTACTCTCCTTCGCACTGAGGGGCGTCCCAGGCCGCCCATTAATGCCAGTGGCATCAGTCTTGTCGAAGTAATCCAAGGATCCCCTTGACATGGCAGAACAGCCCACATTGATAACCCTAGCCCCGCCATTGGGCGTCCCGTCGCCAGCACGGAACGCCTCAAGTAGACTGACCGTCAACAAGAACGGGGCGATGCAGTTCGTCTGGTACACGGGATCGTGCCCGTCCCGTGTCACCCCATCGTTCACATACGACGAGGTGGCAGCGGAATTGATCAGCAGAATCACCGGAGGGATCTCTTTGTTCTGCACCCGCTCCACCGTGTTCTGCGAAAAGCTGACGACCGAGTTGAAACTGGCCAGGTCGGCCCGGACCACTTCTATCGACCGGGGCCCGATAAGGCGGATCCTCTCCGTCACGCTGCGGACGCTGTCGGATCTGATATCGCGCGCCACCAGAAGGATATGAACGAAGGGCTGCGCTTTGGCGATAGCCACTGCGATTTCAGACCCCAGCAGCCCATTTCCACCAGTGATGATTGCCGTTCCGATGAGGTGAGTGGCCATGAGGGGCTTCTGATAGGTTCGGGGATATGTGAAAATTCGTCGGGGTCAACGGTAGGGCTCGTGGAGAAATTGGACACATTCAGGGTCACTCCGGTTGTCTAGCATGTTATTATGTGGGGAACAAGAAACAAGGACGCTGTCAAACAAAAATATCGAAGGAATCGGGCATATTTCAACAATAGCCCAACAAGCGCAAAAGACAAAGAAAGATCCAGGGCAAAAACTCACTCCCAGCAGGTCATTCCACGCCCCCCTCCTCCCTTTTATCAAGCGCAGCTCAGCTCTGGCGCTCGGGGCTGAGTCGTAAACGTCGTATAACAGAACACAAGTCCAAAACAACAAGATGAAAGGAGAGAAAAAGAGAAACTCGGGAAATCAAAAGGGAAGAAAGAAAAAAAGGCTGACCATAAGACTAGAGGCGTCATAAGCGGCCGGGGTCCGAGGCGATCTGTATCCTGATGCGCCAGACCGGTCTAGAGAGAGGGAGGCCAACCGAAGTGAAACCAAGTGGGGGGATCTCATCGGACGTGGCCCACTTGGCATAAAAAATAATCGGCCAGGGCGACTACATTACTGACGCTGAACGAGAGAGTGAGCGAGGGAGGGAAATAATCATGCCTAAGAGTGACGAGTGTTTAGGGAGCCTGATTTAAACGAGGATCCCCAGCATTACTATCTGATCATTGGATGGGAATGTATATTCGGGGGAAATTTGTACGAGACTGGAAATTAACAATATCATAAGGCGTACCAAGCCTAATCAACTCAAACTGTGGTAATGATGATAACGACGATGATTATAGACTGAAAAGTTATAGGCTGTCAGCTATTCAAAACACGACAGACACCGTATATGCTCTAACCCAAAGGTAAGACATGTCCCAGTATGGACCGTAGACGTGGGAGGACAGATCCATGCACGACGGAGGGAAATAGAATCAGAGGTTGCATTGTCAGATCGAATAAGACTGCGACGTAGCCTCAATGTCAGAGACAGCTAGCCAAATGTTAAGGATTACCATCAGCTACCAAATCCCGTCCCAATCTTTTCCCCATTGTCTCCGGAATTTGAGACGCAATAAGTAGCTAAGGTACCGAGTGAGGATGGTATATAAAATTGATTCAGACACGTTGGCATACAAGGGCCATAATCTCAACCATTAGCTTTTAGCCAAGCGACAGTATGAAATTTAGTACTATTTATTACTTATCACCTAAAACTTAGTATTGCAAAATGATGACCTGTCCGGTCTATACTTAGACACAGGGAAAATGATCAGTGGCGCCGTCCTGGCGGCGGTTCTTTCAAATCGCGCGAGCCGAATGCATCTTGACCTGCAGCCACTGTCTCTCGGCATAGTTTCTTAGTAATTCCACACTCTCTAACTATTTTACACTGTGTGTGGCTGTGTAAGATTCAAGGGAAAATATTAACTTTTAGGCTAATAAACCAATCGAGGAGGCATTTTAGGGCTACCACTCACTACCTGACTATTATCACCTCAATGCTATTTGTCGGGTATCTCTCATATCAAGCCCAACCAGATGCCGACTCGGTATTTTGGTGCGGTGTCTGAGAATATCTGTGTGCACATCTTCCTAAAGGCTTCTATGTCAATGTAAATAATCCATCTGTACTTCTTCTCTAATCTATTTGAGAGGTGTTCTCAACTGTCTAATCACTAGTGATCAGTTACTGTTCCCGCTTAGTAAAGATTTCTCTAAAACTCGATTCATATCATCCACTGCAAGTTTGAGCTATACTACATCTGCGATGAGTGTTATAACAAACTAGATGGGTACCGGCTACAAGGATAGTAGGACTGGATGCAACTAGTAGATTCTATAGGTATGTTGCTTTAATTGACATCTAGTCACGTAGTCACTAACGAGGCAATACTATATGACCAAAACCTCGGTACCAAAACCCTGCAAGTCAAACGCCGAAAACTCCTCCTGCATCCCAAGTCGCTGTCCAATGCATCGCGCTCGAAACTATGCTAAAAGAAAAAGGAATGCAAGTAACCAGCCACTAAGCCGTATCCTCCGGCAGTACATCGTCCGGATTCTCCCCAACCAACTGACCAACCGAGCGCACAACCTTCCTGATAGCCTGCGAAGCCGGACTGTCGGGGAAATTGTCAACGAAACTCTCCCCATAGTCACAAGCCATCCCAACTCGCGGGTCAAGCGGCACCGCCCCCAGGAAAGGAATCCCCATTTTCTTCGCCAACCGCTTGCCTCCTCCGGTCGTGGCCCTGAAGATCTTCGACTCGGTCGAGCAATTCTGGCAAACGAAGCCCGACATGTTCTCCACCAGTCCCAAGACGCGAATCCCAGCCTTGCGGCAGAAATCGATCTCCTTCCTCACATCCAGCAGGGAAACTTCCTGGGGCGTGGTGACGAGCACGGCGCCGTCAACACCAGATTCCTTCAGTAGCGAATTAACCGACAAATGTTCATCCGAGGTGCCCGGCGGCGTATCGACAATCAGGTAATCGAGCTCTCCCCAATCCACATCCTTCAGAAACTGCTTAATGAGCCCGTTCTTCTTCGGCCCGCGCCAGATAATCGCATCGTCCCGGTTCGGCAGCATGAACTGGATACTCATCGCGCCCAGGTTATCCGTCACCCACACGGGACTCCAACCCGCATTGCTCACGTGGATCGTCTCCGCCTCGACCCCCATCAGCTTCGGTATCGACGGCCCGCAGATATCGGTGTCCATCACTCCGACAGTCGAATCGGGGTTGGAGGCGAACGCGTGCGCGAGGAGGGACGAGAACGTCGATTTACCGACTCCGCCTTTACCGGAGAGGACGAGAATCTTGTGCCGGATTTGCGAAAGGCGCTCGGTGATGATGGGGATGTCGGGGTCGGGGCCTTTGGGCGCTGTCGCACAGATGTTCTGATTGGGACAGCCGGCGCAGGCGTCGCCTTTGCCAGCTTGTTCGGATTCAGGTCCAGGACAGTGTTCTGCTCGTTATCAGCGAATGTATAGAAGCAACTCCAGTTCACGGTAGGTACATACCTGGCTCCGGTGCGACCAGGTTCGACGCCGCGTCCAGGCCTGGCGTTGGTTCCTCCAACGAAGGTGCCATTGTGAAGTTTCAGCTCACCAACTGGCTGAGATAGTAGGCAAGGTATAAATCGTTTATTGAAATCTTTGTTAGACAACAGATATAGCCTCTAAGCCAAATGAAATAAGATCCGACAATATAAGAGATTATCAACCTCTGAACGTAGTCGACAAAGGTGGCGGAAGGCAAAAAAGTCCCAGAGTGCTTGATAATCAGCACCGGAGTCTTATCGGGATGACAAACCCACCGGTGGCGATTGGTGCCTGAGCGATAAGATCGATAATGCCTACACTGCATACTGTGTGCTTCTTACTCCTTCGTAGAAGTTTACTATTCCATTTCCGCCCATTATCTAATTGATTGACTAGGGTACTATCTGAAATGATCTCCATGCCTTAAATTCCATTCTGATGGCGTGGTCTACACGATCCTTTCTCGTCCGGAATCCGGAACAAGAACTACCAAGCCGCTTTCTTGTCCTCTTTTGTATCAGGTTAATGGGCGCGAGCGGGGTAAATCATGAATCAACATGTTGCTACTTGCTAGCCGCGTCAAAATGATGTGCATCCAGGAGGATCGTCCTGTCTTACTTAACTTAGGGGATATAGGCGGCTTGTGCACGAGGAAGGTCCATTGCTAGGTAGGTATTTCCCTCATGCAGCATTGATGATCTACTGTGGTCGCTCCGAAGGTGAGGGGTAATGCAGCCTGGGCATACCAGCCCCCTTGGACCCTTTCCCAGTACCAGTACATATTAGTGAGGGGTTACGCGATATGGTTGTCACGATGCGTTACCATTACTAACATCGACCAGCCCATGATGGTTGTCAGAACTCTAATACGGTTGGTTTGACGGCCGGGGAATATGATTGCACAATACAGGGACAGGTACGGAGTACAGAGGTAATATTATACCTCCGGTTACTATTTCTCGACGCAGCAATGATATCATCTTCTACCCACTTCAACCAACTTCCACGGCCCCATAGTTAGCTGTACTGAGGCCACTACAGATAGAGTGGGTGATATCCGTCTACGCCGTAAGAGACCGTGCAACTTCGTATGATACGAATGCGAAGAGCTTTGCAGATACAAGGCCCGTGGGTATAGATTACCTACTTCTATAGACAGGACACTGCCATTGAGCATCCATCCGCTTGCCTCCGAGGCTGCAGGACACAGACTCACGCGGAACAAAATCATGATGATCAATTTCCCTTTCAGAGAACCGCAAGGGCCAGTGCTGCACCCGTAATCCGACGCAGGACGGCCCTGATCGTACGGGATCGCTCAATGGCATTCTAGTCTAGGGTATCTCGTTGCATCCAGATGAGTCTGTGGTCAGCAGTGAGGCACCGGCTATATGCAGGCTGGATCTTAGCGTGATAAATTATCTGATTCAATGCGCCTGGGTTGTCCAAACGACCTTCGGACTCTCATTCTTAAAGGGATCCGCATTTACCGCTAGGATATCGTGGGTTTGATGCCACTTATGGCTACTCCAACGTTCCCCGCGCAAAATTGCAGTGTGGTCTTCTTCTATGGGTTTGACTGGGGTTTTTATTTCCGGATAGGACGGGTAGAATGGAAGTCTGTCGTCCGTCCACTATACGGATACTCAGGACACAGATGGTTGCTCCATAGTTGTAAAGTGGCTGGTTACAAGCACGTGTGACTGCAGATTCTATCCGAGTTGCATTATGATCTCCCACGGGTTTAGTGGCAGCAATAGTGACATGTTTGTTGTTATATGGCCAGGGACCACAGTAACGTGAGTGGAGATTGTATTGGTACGGACTTGGCATACTGCATACTAGACCTCAGGAAAGAAGAAAAAGTGTCCACATATTATTCATACCAACCCTATCTTTGCGACTAGAATCCACAAAATGGAGAGAATGAATCCTCGAGGATAAAGAG